CCGAGACGTTCACCAGACGATTTCACATCCATTACAGTTAACGCTGTCCTGCTCCCTGGAACGGATCAGAAAAGAAGCTAACATGTTGAAACCTGGTGAGACTCTGCCAGAGCTAACGCTCTGAGCCGGCAGTATACATACAAGCAGTGAGAGAAAGATTCATTTAACTTCGAGGCAGACATTACACCTCGTCGAGAGAGCTGGAGTGCAACAATGCAGGATGTCACTGAAGCCCGCTAAATTAGTGACTTTGTAAGCCATAACAACTTACTCCCTGAATGCTGGCTCTACAAACTGCACGGTGGTACAAAGCCGCCATCCAGTGATTCGGTGAATTAAACCTTGAAATTTAATCTGCTTCAATCGTACCTGCGCAATGAAGAATATCATGTCATCGATCCTGTAACAAAGAACGTTGTCAGTTTCGTTACCAATAAGACAACATCGCAAATTGTTTTACAAGTCAGGTTTGTCTAGCTGAACTATGCGACTGCTGGAAGGCTGTAACCAATGACGTAAATGAATATCAATGACTCACTAACTGAGTGACATGCTGAACGGCAAACGTTATCCGCCGCAGCAGTGAAATGTCTTCCACTGTTCAGATGGTTGAAAAATACATACCTCTGAGAAGTACATTTTTGCTGGTTATCATGTCACCAATGCAATACAGTAACCAGTTCTTAAAATATAACCATATATGGTAGGCTTGGCTTAACATTTTACCGTGTTTCACAACGCATTCAAAGTAAATTTTCCGTCATCACTATCGGCAGTTGATCTCGTGAACCCAGAAATACATTCTGAAGAGCGAGAAACAAACCTAAACGTCGGTTGTAGTTATGTATTTTATTTACCTTTAAACATGGTGTTGATTCTTAGTCAGCTTCCACATGCACCAAGGGGAATCACGCATCAGACAGCATAGCCAAAAGTCTCACACGCTTTGACGTGTTCTCATGAAAATACCATGCTGTCGCTGCCGTTTGCAGATCAGTGACTTGTTATCCATTTATCAAACAGTTGCCCCAAAAGTTTAGTTAAACATAATTAGCAGTTGATAAGAGCAAATTAGTGCGCCATGCTGCGGATCTGAAATCAACTATTTAAAGTGCAAAAAGACAGTTAAGCTCTCACTGCTCAAAAAATTACATAAACCACTTTATTACATGTTATATTTAGTAAATCATTTGCTTTGCGGTAGAAGTAAAACTTCCGGTAAACTTCCGTGCAATGACAAAGGCGAACAGTAGCTTACCGATTTCTGCCTATGCTGGTGCCAAAAGGCTTCTTCTTATTATACAAAGTGTACAATAAGTTCTGCTATGGTCGTGTGTATAATCATTTCTTGCGGTCATTTCTCTATACTACAGCGTTGAGCTTTCTACCACATTTATTGCTTTCTACCTCTCCTACATAACAAACTAAAGCTTCTTTACTACCTCTTCATCATCACGTTAAGTGCGTTATACAATGTATAAAACTACGCATACCCCACGAAGGAATTTTCACTGCGTTTCTACCATAAATACTACCGATACATTCACTCGATAAAGTCTGTGCAAAGTGCTTGAAAATAAGTTGCTGAGAAAGCAAGAAAGGGATCAGAAAATACAGAATAAGCCATGAGGATTAGAATCAGGCAGTAGTACCA